CAACATCAAGCGGAATTGGAACGGCTCAGAGCGATCCATCGTCGTGCAGAACGAAGATGTAGGCGCACTAAATCCATTCACGACTTGAGGGAGGCAAGGCGCCTACAGAAAAAAATTAAGCGGCGAACCAAATCACTTCAGTCCTTTCGCTGGAAATATCTGTGCGATTCGTTGAATCCACACAAGCCTTTGACACAGACAGGGAGGATTGTTCGTGGCCTACGAACATCGCCACATCAACATCACCCCTCCAAGTGTCTTTCTCTCCAGCAAGGCCGCACCGAAATTGAAGTAGCAGAAGATTTCTGCATGAAAATTGACGGTCAGGCGTCCGCGTGCACCACGCACCACCTAGAAAACGCTCCAGTTTCCAGAGATTCAAGAATAGGACACCTTCTTTCCTCTAGGGGAACTACAAGCGGCCTTGACGGCATGCAAACAATCTTCATCGCCTGGTCCAGATGGGATCACGTACATGGCTCTTTGCAACCGCGGAGAAGCAGCTCGATGGGCCCTTCTACCCGTGTACAACGACTCGTGGAGCAGCAGATTTATCCCTCATTCATAGAAATCCAGCCGCCTCGTCCCTGTGCTTAAACCAGGTAAATCTCCTCTGCACTTGACCTCTTATCGCCCCATCGCGCTTGCCAGCTGTTTCGGGAAAGTGATGGAGAGGATGACTTTGACTCGCCTAGAGTGGTACCTGGAGCACCACGAGGTATACCCTCATGCTATGACGGGCTTTCGGCGTGGCCGGTCCGCAATTAATAACGTTATAGAGCTGGTCTCATCTGTTCAGCATCAAAAAAGACTGAAACGTTTATCTGCGGCGTTGTTCTTGGGCGTGAAAGGTGCATACGATAACGTATCACATGAAGCCATTCTGTATGTCATGGAAAATGTTGGATTAAGGGGTCGCTTTTACCAACGGATCCACAGCTATCTGAAAGGCAGAAGCTTTCTTTGTACAGACGGAGAATGGCACAACAACGCATCATTGCAAGCATCGTGGTGTGCCTCAAGGTAGTGTTCTTAGGCCCACACTTTTCATTCTAGCGATACTGGCCTGGTTGACGCACTTCCAGAATCTGTCCATCTATCAATATATCAAGATGACATCTGCATCTGGGTGTCAGGCGTAACACGCCTTCACTTGCGTGCCCGGCTTCAGAGAGCGGCTACAATAGCGAGAAAGTACCTGGAGGGATGGGGACTAGAGCTGTCATCAGAGAAATGCTCGCCTATAGCATTCACGCATAAGGCGATGAGCCCATATGTTATTAAAAACAACGGACACACCATCAACTACGTGAAGACCCACCTATTCCTCGGAGTCATAGTTGATTGAGACCTCTCCTGGAGCCCTCACATCGCCCACATGAAAACTAAACTCACCATGATCACCCACGTACTGAGGTTTCTTGTTGGAAAAACGTGGGGTGCATCGGTACGAGCAATGCTTGAACTCTACGCTGTTCTGTTCCTCGGTTATATGCGATACAGCTTACCCTTCCTTTGCGGGATCCGAAGAACAAACTTGCGCGTCTTCTGGTCGATCCAAGCCCAAGCACTGAGAATATGCCTTGGTCTGCCGAGATTCGCGTCTAGCAGCAGAGACAGTCATCATTGCGCGTGATTATCCAGTCAACGCATATATCCGCCTAGATGCTTTGAGAATGCACATAAGACATTTCGCTCGGCTTCCATCTCATGACCTCGCCTCACTTCGAACTTCTAGGCCCCACTCAGCGTTCAGCGCAACTGTAGCTCAGCATTGCGCAGTGCTTCCATTGCACTTCACGCAAGCAGCACGGCCGCCGATACCATTGTGGTGCCTACACCCTTTCAAAGCTTTCTTACAATTCCTGGCATCCAAAATAAGAAAAAGTCGTCGCATCTAGCCCTGAAACAGGCCACATGACCCTTACTGAAAGAGAAGCACAACGGACGCCATCACATTTACACGGATGGCTCGGTGTCTTCAGTAAGCTCTACAGGGGCGGTGGTTATTCCCGCGAGGCACATCACAATTGAATTCATGACATCGCATTTGACGTCGTCGACAGCTGCAGAAGTCGTCGCCACGTGCAGCTCAGGAGTTTACAGTGAAAAAACCTTCGGGAATTTGGTCTATCTTCTCGGACTCGAAGGCAGCTCTTCAATGTTTTATGTCACCCTTTCGCCGGGGACCTAATGAACAGTTAGTAGCTGAAATAAGGCTTCTTCATCACCAAGCATAGAAAAACAGCACAGCATAGTGTATCAGTGAATACCAGGTCATTGCGCTATATATGGCAATGACCGCGCAGATGAGGCCGCTAGATCTGCACTCGATGGTACCCAATACACAGCCATCCCGTTCTCAAGAACCGACGCAGATACAAGACTTCGTTTGCTTGCACGTGACCTCACACTGGTACAGTGGAACTCAACAGACTTCACAAACGCTGCCCCTGCATAACTTGGATCCCGATCTGCAGTTTCGTCTTCCCCCAAGAATATCTCAAGCTGAGGAGACTCTTCTATGCCAACTGTGGCTTGGAGTGGCATTCACGAACGCATACTCTTACCTCATTGGAATGGCCAGCTCTTCTACATGCACTTACTGCAGCTGTGAAAAAACCATCGCGCACCTTCTGTGTGAGTGCACCCATTTCAACGCGCAAAGACAAGAACTCACAGCCGCTCTGGATAGAGTGGACGATCGGCCTTTGTCGGAACGAAGGATTCCAGGTAATTGGCCAAGCCCATCCTGAGCCCAGAAGGCTTTGAAAGCTTTGCTGTGCTTTTTGCGGACAACTGGCCTCAGAGACAGACTTTAGTGTGTTATACTCTTTGATGTTGCCTTTCCTCTGTCGCAATTTTTTTAAATTTCTCTCTTTCTTCGCAACATTTCTTTTTAACATCTTTCATTCCCCTCACCCCTTTCCCCAGCACAGGGTGGCCAGCTGGTCTAAAAACTGGCTAACCTCCCTGTCTTTCCGCGTAAACTTTCTTCCTCCTCCTCACTGTCTATTCGTCCATACGTCTGCCTGCCTGTCCATCCGTCCATCTGTATGTCCATCTGTCTGTCTATCTGTCTGCCTGCCTGCCTGCCTGCCTGTCTGTCTGTCTGTCTGTCTGTCTGTCTGTCTGTCTGCCTGTCTGTCTTTCTGTCTGTCTGTCTGTCTGTCTGTCTGTCTGTCTGTCTGTCTGTCTGCCTGTCTGTCTGTCTGTCTGTCTTTCAAAGCCATTTCACATGACACAAAAAGCAGCAATTTTCAGTCTGCAAATTCGCTCGCAGCGAAAAAAAAAGAAGGCCAGTTTGCTCCCGCTGCAGCAGTTCGTGGCAAGCTTTCACACTGTTGGAAAGTTTTGCTCTGGTCGCCGAGGCAGGAGCGATTTTTGGTCGGGACCCACCTGTTATATTCAGCTTCGGTTTTTACTTTGTGTTCTTTCACCCCCAGGAGACGCGTCTGTTCTTTATGTATATATTCGATGTGTTGCGTACAATAAACGTCTTTTTGTACGGTGGTGCTGCCGGTGCTTCTTACGTCTTTCGCAAACACCACATTGGCGACGAAGATGGGATAAACACGTCAAGCTACCTTCAGCATCGAGTGTCGTCCGGGTCCGCCCTGCCATGAGTTTCTCCGGCCTTGCTCCGCCGCCGCCGTTCCTCCCGACGCCCGGCCGGCCGTCGCTTCCATAGGAGGAGTGGGCGCAGACTTTAACAGTCTACCTTCTAGCGTCCGGAGCAGCTGAGTTCCCACCAGCGCGACGCAAGGCCATTCTTCTGCATTGTTTGGGGGCGGAAGGGCAGCGTGTTTACCGGACTTTACCCGCAGGGTCAAATGCCGCAGCACCAGCAAGCGCCGCAGCACCGGAAGTACAAGAGAAGCCTCCCGCGGCCGCTACTGACGAGTACGAGGCTGCACTCATCACCTTACGGCAGCAGTTTTCCACGTCGTGTAACGTCGTCATCGAGCGTCATCGTTTCCACCGCCGCAGCCAACACGCAGGCGAGTCCGTTCATGACTTTGTTGCTGCTTTACGGGAGCTCGTTTCGCATTGTTCGTTCGCTTCACAAGATGATGCTCTGCGAAACTGATTTGTTGCCGGCGTTGTTTCCAACCGCGTACGTGAATGGTTGCTGCTCGAGGGTTCTTCCCTTTCGTTCGAGAGCGCAGTGCGAATCGCTATTCTGTTTGAGCAAGCAGCTGAAGAGCTGAAGGAATTTTCTGCTTCGGTCGAGCCTGTTTCTTTACGGCGTCGTTCCCAGTATTCGTATTCTTTGCGCAAATTCAATTTCCAGCCGAAAGCGCATTTTCAGCAACACTCTCCAAGCGCTAGTGGTTCGCGTGCGCCTCAGGGGCCCCGCCCCCCTCGGCGAGACAGAGATAGCCGGTCCGTTTCACCACACTGTTTCCGATGCGGCTCGCGGAATCACAGCGCATCAGCGTCACAGTTCCCTGCACAGGTAAAGAAGTGTTTGTTTTGCGGTATCAAGGGCCACTTTCAGAAAGTATGCAACCGCAAGCGTCAAATGCAAGGCAGGATTCGTGAAGTTGGCATCGATGACGATGCTTTGTCAGGGGGAAGTTCTGAGCAAGTTTTGACTGTGCAGCATCCCGCTCGCAGCGCAATTTACATACAATTATGCGTAGTGGATGTCAAGTTGTCATTCCTTGTTGACTCAGGATCGTCTGTTTCAATTCTATCAGAGCAAGAATTTCACCAACATTTTCAAAGCAGTTTGCTCCTTCCAGCTCCGCATGTCACTTTGTTTGACTATTCGAAGCGCTCAATCTCCGTGCTAGGGCTGTTTCCAGGCAGACGTTCAGTTTAAAGGGCGCTCTGCACCACTTTTTTTCTACATCGTTTGCCAAGGAACTTGTCTGATTGGCCTTGACGGCATTAAGGCCCTAAATCTTCGAATACAGGGCTCCACTCTTGAGTGCCTGCACACGTCCGTTGCCCCGCCGCCGCGTGTTAATGACCCGACACCTTGTCACATTCCGATGCAGTCAATAGAGCAACCCAGGCAAGCAAACCTTCCGCCAGCCTTGGAACACGACTTCGGTTCACTTTTCAGTCCCGAGTTGGGTCTTGCTAAGCGGTTCACGCATCGTGTCAAGATTTGGCAAGGCGTGCAGCTGGTACCTTCGAAGCTGCGCTGTCTTCCATATTCACGTCGGGAACCAGTGTCGAAAGAACTTCACAGGTTGCTGAGCCTTGACATCATCGAACGCATCGATGCTTCTGAATGGGTTTCGCCCATTGTTGTCGTTGACAAGAAAGACGGCAACATCAGAATTTGTGTTGACTTCCGGGAGCCTAACAAGGCTATTGTACCAGACAGCTTCCCGTTGCCTCATACAGAGGAACTCCTTCATGCCTTGGTAGGCGCGACACACTTCTCAAAACTTGACTTGGCTTCTGCCTACCATCAGGTTCTTTTGCACCCTGACTGCAGGGACCTGACAGCCTTCATCACGCATGAAGGACTTTTTCGGTTCAAGAGAAGTTGCTTTGGGTTAGCTTCTGCCCCAGCGGCATTTAAGAAGATGATAGCCACAATTCTGGATGGCTGCCCTGGTGCGTTGTTCTACATTGATGACGTGATAGTCTTTGGGAAAAGTGCAGAAGAACATCTTTTGAACCTAACAAAGGTCTTGCAGAAAGTCAAGTACGCAGGCCTGAAATTGAACGACAAATGCCTTTTCGACGTTCCAGAACTTTCTTTCCTAGGGCATAAGGTCACTGCACAAGGTATCTCGCCGCTTCAGAGAAAGTAGACTCGGTAGTTAACACTCCAGTGCCAACAGATGTTGCTGCCCTCCGTTCATTCCTGGGTCTTGTAGAATACTATTCCAAGTTTGTTCCCCGCTTGGCCCAGGTGGTCGAGCCTATGCGAGTTCTGCTTCGCAAGAATAAGCCATTCATCTGGTCAGCCGAAGCAGACAACAGTTTCCGGAGGGTCAACGAAATGCTTTCTTCAAGTACAGTTGTCCACAAGTTCGATCCATCACTTCCAGTCATCGTGTCGACCGACGCTTCTGACTGTGGGCTGGGAACCGTTCTGCAGCAGCAAAATGGCCATGAGCTCCGCATAGTGGCTTTCGCGTCTCGTACCTTGTCACCAGCGGAAAGAAAGTACTCGGTCGGCGAACGCGAAGCGTTGGCATGCATTTGGACGTGCGAACGATGGCACACTTACCTTTGGGGTCGCCATTTCAAGATTTGAACGGACCATCAGGCGTTGGTATCGTTGCTGTCTTCGCAAGGACGTGGCAGAAGGCCACTTCAAATTGCACGCTGAATACGCGACTCCTATGCTTCGATTTCTCTGTCGAGTACCGCAAGGGGTCCACCAACACGGTGGCAGATGCTCTATCTCGGCTGTCAGCTCCTGCCGCGCAGGCACAGCTGGCCAAGGATGAAGAAATTGTGTCGTTGGTCGAGTCGGCTTGCGTGACGAAGGAAGAATTCAAGCAAGCCGTCCTCAACGATGGTTGTCTGCAAACGGTCAAGTCGTTCGTGCTCGGTTCTTGGCCACCACAAAAGTCCATACCAAAGGAGGCAAAACATTTCTACTCTGTGCGCGAAGAACTTTCTGTTGTTGATGACCTTCTACTGCGCGCAGAACGCCTCGTTGTTCCGTCCTCACTCACGGCTCAGTTCATCGCCGTTGCCCACAAGGCACATCCGGGCATCACGCGCACAAAGGCGCGACTTCGTGAGCTATTCTGGTGGCCACGGATGGACAAGCAAGCTGAATATGCCGTGAAAAACTGTCACATCTGCCTGGAGGCAGATAAGTCTTCCAAAACATCGCCAGCGCCATTGCAGCCAATTGACTGGCCTGAAAGGCCATGGCAGAAACTGGGCCTAGACATTGTTGGCCCATTGGAACATGCACCTAACAATAGCCAATTTGCTATAACACTGGCCGATTACCATTCCAAATGGCCAGAGATATATTTCTGCAGCGAAGTGGCCACAAGCACCGTGAAAGACTTCTTAACCAGTGTTTTTGCCCGTGAAGGATACCCGGAAGAGATTGTTTGCGACAATGGGCCGCAGTTCACTTCACGTGAATTTGTAAGCTTTCTTCAAAACCGAGCCATCAAGCTGTCTCATTCGTCTGTATATTACCCCCAGGCGAATGGGCAAGTCGAGAGGTTCAATCGAACTCTGAAGAACTTCAGCCAGGTTTCACTCCTCGAAAGGAGACCTATCCGACAAGCGGTTACGGACTACCTCTCTATTTACCGCTGTACTCCACAGGCTACCACTGGAGTTGCCCCAGCAGTTCAGCTGCATGGGCGAATGCCCCGAACCAGATTGGATGTTGTGGGGTTTTCGGCACCAGTGTTTGCAAAAGACCCAGCAAAGGAACTGGCGCGACTGCGCCAAATGGTCCGGCTTCAACAGCAAAGCAGTAAGGAGTACACGGACCGCCGGAGAGCTGCTAAGCAGCCAAAGATAGCTGTGGGTGATTTCGTTCGTATCAACAAGCCGTCCGTTCGCTTCAAGGGGGATCGCTCCTTTTCCTCGCCAACTGAGGTGTTGGGGAGGAGGGGACCTGCTTCTTTCCGACTTGCAGACGGCCGAACATGGAACGCCTCCAAGTTTTCCCGGGTTTCTGAGAGGGGCACGAGTCCACAATACGAACGTTCGCAGCTACCTGCGCCACAGCTTCCGGTTCAAGTGCCGCAGCCTGCCCTGCCGCCGCCGCCTTCTCCCGAGTCGCAGCCGCCGCCTCCTGGCGTACTGTAGTCTGCCGTACCGCAGTCGCCATTTCCTGATCCGCAGCTGCCTGTACCGCAGCCTGCCATGCTGCAGCCTCCTTCTCCTGGGCCGCAATCGCGGTCTCCTGGCGTACTACAGAGCTCTACAAGCTCATTACCAGCTCCGGCCGTGCAGCATCCCCATCGGCCGTCCCGAGAGCGCCGGCCACCGGTCTGGCTCAAGGACTATCAGACCCACTAGTTGCCTGTGTGTATAGCAGAGTGTGTATGTAATGTAAATATGTATGTGTATACAGCGTGTAAAATGTTCAGTGCATGCATAGGGATTTCTTACTAACACTTACTAACAACTAATCACTACATATAAGGGAGGGAGTATGTTATAATCAGTTTCGGTTTTTACTTTGTGTTCTTTCACTCTCAGGTGGCGCGTCTGTCCTTTATGTATATATTTGATGTGTTGCGTACAATAAACGTCTTTTTGTACGGTGGTGCTGCCGGTGCTTCTTACGTCTTTCGCAAACACCACACCACCGAAATAAGGCCGGGCCCAACAAGCCGTCGAAATAGCGTAGAGGGGTTTGTTTTCATGATCGCCGATGCTGTGCATTTTAAGTAATTGAGCTTGAAGAGTGTTGCTTAAATGAGGAAACAAAAGTGCTCTTCTTTGCCGTTTCTAGAACCTAATATCATAACATATAAATTGTTACATCATATTTGAAAAATTCTACAGTGTCTGCCACAACGAACGGCTGCAAGAAACGTTTCCCACCACTCCAGTCACAGAATGAAAATCGCGGACTGTTCGCGGTCCATGTGGAACGAAACTGCCATTAGCGGCGGTTGCGAACACAGTGGTTGGAGCGAACGCAACGAGAATCATCAGGAGAATACTGCGGATTCTCTCCGTTGGACAGACTTTTCGAGTAGAGGGCGATTTCTGCAGCGCGAAAAAGTTCGCGATATTCCCGTGAGGTGAATTTTCGAGACGAGGAGCGTCCATGAATACAGGCCTGAATACCACGACGAGTGGAACACGAGCCTCACTCCTGAGTCCAGTTAGCGATTTCAAAGAAGTCCGATGGTGGTGTTTACCAACTGTTTCACAACTTGGTGAAGAAGCGTGATGGGGGTGTTTCGCAACGATGAGTGTTTCACCACTTTGGTTCAGCACTACCAAAGCTACGGTGTGTAAGAAGACCAGACACTTGCGCAGCAAAACATAGTCCAGATATAGTAAGTGCCTTAAAATTAACTGAGTTGACTAAAATTTGCGTTTGTTTGGTGTGTGTAGCAAACACACACCAAACAAACGCCACATCAATATGCAATGAGTGTACGCCACATCAATATGCAATGAGTTTGTTCTTCGAATTTAGTTATTAAGCATGAAATTATTTTTCTCACTTACCGCCGGTAACTGTGTTTACAAATCAACATGACAGCACTCATGCAGACGCGACCACCCGCTTTGATTCGAACTTGCGCTTGCTACACGCCCACTGAGCTGACAGCAACAAATGAATAGTCAAATCCGTCATCGATTTGGTGGATCTTACGCTGAGGATAAAACACCAGATGTGTTTTGTCATTATTAGCGAGATATTGTGCTTCCTTAGGTGCACCTGCTATGACTAACCAGCGCCTCCTCAATTTTTGCAGTGCACATGTGAAGGAGCGGATTTCAATAGGAAACGGCCGTTGGTGCTAGTGCAGCATTTCACCACCAGGCGCCGCAACTGGAGTATAGATGCCGCCGCGTCGTCTATCGCGCAAATAAATGCAGCGGCTACAATGGAAGCTGTTATACGGCTTGGTTTTCGGCTGTATTAGAATTGTTTAAGATGTAATGAACACTTGGAAACGAGAATCGTGAAGCACTTGTCGTTTTGGACACCAGCTCATTTAAATGGCATATGTCGTTCGCGACTACTTGATCGAGGCGCTCGCGCGTCGTCTGCTAGGCCAACACCAGATAGCTGATGCCAGTAATTCGCGGGAAGTTGTTCTGTCACCATGGCGTTCATTGGACTGAGTTGCTTTTTTGACTAACTGATATTCGATTTTTGAGAGAATCCTTTGCCAAGAGCTAATAATAAAAGCTTGGGTGTCTAATTTTCCCCGATGCTTGCTGTTCTGTAGTGGCGTAGTACATTATGGGCAAGCCTGGAGTTCATGCAATAAATAGCAAACAAATGCCCCTTGACTGCTTCCAGGAATATAGATCATCATCCTTTCCCTTCGCAAACCATTACATGTGTTGCCACCGAAAAAAGTAAGTGTCAAAATTGAGGAACTATGGCAGGTGATTTCATCATTTTAGAGCCTACACAATCAAATCATGATGAAATAAACAAGAACAGCTCCATATACTGTGCGATTTCTGCAATAATTGCATATGTTTTGAACAGGCGCTGTTAAAGACTGTCAAGTAATGCTGACTCTCAACTTGAGCCAAGTTGACAGGTATGGAAAAATGCGGCCTGTGGTCAGTTGCTTGAGCTTGTCTATGTAATTCATGGACGGGTTGTGATAGCCTTATTGTGCAGATGCTCAGCTCTGTTTTTTTTTCTTCTTCCCTCTGGCCTCTTCATTCGGTAGCGAGCAGAGTCGAGCCGAATGGCTGTGTGGTGTCTGTGGGCTCCCATTCAGCTTCGGGGTGCAATGATAGCGTTGCACGCGGCAGTGATCGCGAGGCAGCGTTGTTACTGATAGACTCATTTGTTCACTGTTCGGATGCAGCACATTCCCGTTTAGTGATACCAATTGTCATGTTGCCAAACGTGACGGGCTGCCTTCTCCAACCACAACTTATAATGATGATGATGATGATGTTGATGATGATGACCTGTGATGGATGGCGCTCATCCACGGAGGGGGATGGGTCAAGAACCGGGCGGCAGGATACTTACAGAAAGCTAAAATGAAAATAAAGCCAATCTGAAAAGTAGTTTAGAAATAATACTACCAATAAACAAAAATGTTTGCTGAGCAAGCGGTCAAAGCAATATCTTGTTTTTGACAGACTTAGCTACGAATTATAAGCTAAAGATCTGAAAAGGTTAGGGTTCTCTACCACGGTAATCTTTTAGTTGCGTTGACGTAATCAAACACAGTGGAGCATATATCTCTGTGGCAGTAACCAAATGAAGTTCCGCCAAGTGATAAAATTACTGGTAGATTTACTTGTAGTCCTAGCTTTTGTAATGGGGCTACTAAAATATTTTTTTTGATAAGAATAACGATGACAGAATAAAAAGAAATGCTCAATTGTTTAAATTTCGTTGCACCAAATGCATAGCGGTGACTCCTCGAGTCAAGCTTTGTTAAGGTAATAATTTAGTTGTGGAACTGCGCAGCGCAATCTGGTATAAGTGACTTCTAGCTGGCGAGATACACACCACTGTTTATTCCAGCAATACCTCAAATGCTAGAAATCTTTGAATTTACCAAAATAACCTTTTCCCCATTGCAGACAAGCATTTCTGAACGTTAGCGCTGTCACGTAAGCCATATCAGGCAAACCTGGGATGGTGGGCCCACTCGGAGATAATGCTGCTAAAGAGTCTGCCATTTCGTTCAAATATAATCCGCGGTGTCCCGGTACCCATAGCAAATGCAGTTTTTTTTACGTTTTTTTGGTACTAAATGCCGAAACGTATTCATTCGGCTTTGTATTTACTGCCGCAGAAAGTGCATTGCAAACTGATAACAAATCTGTAATGATAACTGCTAATGACTTCGCTTGAGGGCAGTTTGCATAGGGCAAGAACAATAGCCAATAATTCTGCAATGAATACAGGGGTATAATCTGGGAGTCGAATCGAAAAGGACCAGTCCAAAGAAGGAGAGAAGATGCCAACCCCAGCCTTTTCTTTTGACACAGATGCATCAGTCGCAATGATATTGCTTATGTCTAGGTGAGCTAGATAATCTGCTAACTGGTCATTTAAGTACCTATGTGCCAATTGTTTCGCGTTATGAGGAAATATATAATCAAATTGTATGCTAAGCATTGACTTTAGGTTGTGTAATGGACCAATATGTTTATTTTTACCTATAAAACACGCGGGTTGTAAATGACGGCTACATATTAGAGTGTAGTACGAGGATTTATTAGGAGACCAATCGTTCTGCATGAATTACTGCAAGCACACTCGCCACGAACACCAGCGGAGCTGCAATTTCACGAACATACAGCCATACAGTGCATTAGGGTGATAGCCCTAAATGCCTCATCAAAAGCGAAAATTGTTCGCCGGTGGCGTCTTCTTGCGTCGGCGGCGTGAACACGAGTTATGCAAGAAATTATGATTACGTGAAAAGGTTCTCATATGACGTCACATATCATTATTGTTTGGGAGGTATGTGAAGGTCACATAACTTCACGGCATCTTTTAACATCTTCGCTTAGTTGAAATGGGCCGATCAGGAGGGCAGTGCATAACCAGCTGAGGGAATGAAAGCTAGCTTGGTCTCGAATTCTTTAGGCAGTAAAAAACCATGTTGTGTGCAGAAATATCTCGGAGGCAAAAAGGAAATATTCAGTGCATTGAACTGGAAGAAAACGAGGATAGTTTCTGCCTTTCATTCGTCTCAGATGAATCGATAAGGGGACTGGCGAGCTTTTTTTTTTGTAAGTAATGTGAAATGAAAAAAAAATTCTTAATATTTCCGTCAGACATGCAGCGTAGGACACAGCAGTATCATATATTGAGGCATGCAAATAGTGATGTTGCAATAGCTTGAAATAGATAATAAAACGCGAATGCTGTGAAACTCGAATTGCATATATCGAGCCAATAGCATGGCCTGACAGAGCCAGGTGAAAACAGCGCACCGCTAGGTATGTGCAACTGTTCATGCTCCCTTCACCAGTGAAAGCCGTCGAGAAGCATGAATTCAAAATTACTGGCACGAAAACATGAATTCACGAGCTGCCTAATACGGGCGTCCGTGCAGCGCCAGCATCCTGTAGTCTACTCGCGCAGCGCCATCAGTCGGTAGCGGCGAGCGAAGGCGGAGCGCTCGAAGGCCTGAAGAGAGCGTTCGCCCTGGCAGTGAAAAAATAGAGGAGCCGTTGGACAAACGCACCGAGGCAGTGCTTGGGCTGCATCGCCAGACTAAGAACGCTGCATCTCCAACGGACATGCAACATGACACAGTGCTTCGTGTGCGTCGGATCCTCCTTCAATGAAAACCAAAAAGAGAAAAAAATGGCAGCATATCCATAGGGTGAAT